TCCGCTAGTTCCTGTTAAAGCCCTACCCTCCAATACCATTGGTGCCCGCAAACCTTCCGTGTTACAGAGGGAAGATTGGGTTTCTATTTAGGAGTGACTCCTTCAGAGCGGAATATAACGCCATGATCAACAGGTTTCTGCGCGATGCAATAGTTTTCCCCACAAAAAACGTCCATCGCGCTACGTTCATCGAGAAAACCGTGCAACATTTTGCAGGAAGTTTTTCTTTTTCGGAAGGTTCGGCTTTAGATCAGCTTGCAGAACTTCGCGTCCGCGCTATAGCGAATCAACCTATAGGAGGGTTATTGATCCCTGTAGGGTAGCCGGGAAGTGCTGCTGCTGAATGATCTGGCATCGAGAGGTATACTTCTCAGGAATGTAATTGTGCTGGTTCCTTCAATGGGTTTTTTCGAAAGCATAGAGGTAGTGACGCAACTCAAGAATTCCGCCCTTGACTGTTAGGGTGGATCTTTATTCGGCGCAGGGTTCCAGCGCATCACCCTTGGACTGGTGAGTTATACACTTTGCGCTCAACATCGACTTCCTCAATTTATCGAGTGGTCCTGCTGCAAGGGCACGCCATCGCTGTGATAATCATAATGGGGGAGGTCGTACTTGACCGCGAGCGAGGGGGGGGAGGCGTATTTGGTCTGCGAAAAATTTTTTGATAGTTGATATATCTTGTTTTACGGGCGCTATAAAGGGAGAAAGGTCGTATTTGGTCGTTGTTAGGAGAGGGCGAGGGGGTCGTACGGTGCTTTGAGAGAGAGCTAGGAGGGTAGGCTCAACGCTTTGTGTCGTTCGGGAAATTACTTTTTCCGGTTGTTGACTTTTGTGCGTTTTTCTGCGTTTTCCAACTGGTGTTGCACAATAGTCCCTAGTTGCCGTGCCGGCCGTCCCACGCGCCAAGCTTCTATACAACTACTATTTCCGACGGTTGAAATAGTAGTTAGTTCATGACGCCCCCACCCCCTCGCCGAACTGCCCCGTTTCTTGCCTTGGAGGTAGCTCGGGAGGAAAGGCCTCACACATGGGCAAACCATGTTCCAGTGAAAAAGTGGGGTGGGTTTCACGATAAGATATCCCCAGTTTTGCTTGAGAGCTCCTTTGGATGCCTCTTTTAGCCGACCCTTACCATTAGCCGGTCATTTTTAGGAGTGTGGAGGGAGTCTCCAAGATGATCCCCCGCTGCTGACGATTCTGCTATATAGTTTTACTAGATATTTGGATTATGAGTCTCTTTCCTGTTGTATGACCTATTTCGGCGTTGTTCGCTCGAAGGATTAGGAGGGGGCACTTTGAATTTCGCTCGTTTCTTTTCAGTTCACGTTGGACAACGAGGCTTTGCTATGACTTGTAAACGCATGTGAAGCTCTGATGAACTGCGCCCATAGTACTACACGAAACGCGGCCTTTGACCATTTGGCCTCGCGCAACATTTGTTTGCTAAAAGATCGGCGCTTGGTCCTCAATATCGTGCTCACTGGGACAGTCGGGATAAACCGTTTCATCCTCAAACATTTCCCTCTCTATCTCGTACAAACAATTGAAGTGGCCTTTTACAGAAGGACGAGATACATGTGACAAGGTCGCCAAACACCCGGAAATCTGTACCAACGATCGTCGCCGACAAGAACGTCTACCAACGAGAACTTCGGCGGCCGCGAATTCATGGACCAATTTTGGGCGTTGTGCCAGTTGACGAAGGTAAATCTTGGAAGCCTTTGTTCATGTGTGGAGCTTTAAGCTATAGCTTTAAACATTATATGCTTTGCTTTGAATAAGTTTTGTTTGTTTTGTTGGAAAGACCCGAGCTATCGTACTATTAACAGCCCTAGCCCATGCTTACAATAACCAAAAGACCCTTACTAATACACTAATCCTATTTCTAACTCCATTAAGTTCGCGGCTAGCAGATTAAGTTTAGCAGTCCTAAGTTAGCTGGTAATCCATCGCTTGCTGTATTCAGCTACCTAACCCTAACTAGTAATTCGAGCTTTTGATGAGCCCCGCATAACTATGTTTAGATGCGCGTGATACGGGTAATGGTGACAGTTCGGGGACGGAACATCAGTCGATTACTGCATCATCGGAATGGGAAGTGCAACCGGTACCAGTGGTAACCCCTTTGCCACGATTTGCCTCTCCAGTGGCTAATCCGTCGCCGAAAAGCGACTATCATTCACGAACTATCCCTGTGGTCAAGAATTACAAGTATGCACAAAAGCTCGGCCAACGACCACGACTCAGGATCCGACGTCCTGGTAGGGCTACATTTCTACTCCAATTACTACATTCAATAGACTAGAATATCCCTTCAGTTATATTCCTTTTTTTGGTCAAACGAAATCAAGAAAAATCGATCCAAAATTCCCAGCAGTAGCGAGAGCGCTCAGCCATCTAACTCTGAGAGCCTTTTGTATCACTAAGGGCGTCGGGAGAAAGTGGTAGAACACATGTAATCAGTGGTGTGTCAGCCTACAGTGCTGTTGTATTCAACTAGCTAGGAGTTTTCGAGTGTAATGGTGCGTGCCCCCCCCCCTCGTGATTTCAATACTGTGTTGCAAAGGGCGGGCGGGCAACTACTTCTTCACAGTCTATAATAAAGGACCAGACTGGACTGGGTCAGCTTGGGACAACCCTTCAAGGCACATTCCGCGTTGGTCGTATGGGCGGAGACGAAGAAGTAACTCAGTTCGCGTGGCACTACTCATTGGCACTAGTAAGGGATTAGTTTCACTCCCATGGAACTCTGAATGGGAGCCTAGCTCCTTAGGTAGTGGTAATTTGCCAGTAGAGGCTCATTGCAAATGTCGAGATATAAAGTGCTACAGGAAACTTTCAAGCGGTTCTAAACAGCCAAAGTTGTAGTACCTGCATAGTTGGCACATAAAACCTAGTGACTCAAGCCGTAGCGAAGTGGCAGGTGCCCCACTCTGCAAGCGGTAGCTTGCTGGTTTACCCCAGAAACGTTAAAATTTCCCTTTTCTCCGACAGAAGCTTCTGTTTCATTTTTTGATATTTCTTCGATTAAGCACTCAATTAAGGCTTGTCATCCAGTTTGTTGTGTCCAGTGGGAGCGAACTGGTTATCTAAAGCACTTTGCCCGAAGTCGTAAAAATCGTTTTCAGTTTGTGCGGATTTAATTCTGGAAAAAGATGCTCTCAATAGCTCTTACTCTCAGTATCTCATTGCTAAAGAGAGCCGCATCTTCTTATTAGGTTGTGCTGGACTTTTATTGATTCCCATCATCACAACAATGCCAATCAGATTCCATAAAAACATCCGATACGAGGCTTCCGCCCGTTTCAACTCCAACTTCAAGTGCGACAGCTTCACAGAGTATAGCGGCGAACCGTACAGCAATTTTCGGCACTATTGAACTATTTCTAACCCAGTCTTTTTGCCGACTTTTTCTACAAGGGCAGATTTGGCCGAAAATTTGCCCATAGAGGTACTTCGATCTCCTGAACATATCGAATATCTCCGCTTTGCCCGAAACTGCCTGGCGCTCGCGCCACAGGAAAAACGCCTCAAGCCACCAAAACCGATGAAAACTTGTGTACGGGGGTATTTTGACATCCTGTTTACGAATGGACTATCTGACATTCTATTTACGAATATGACATTTATTCTTGGCGCCGGCGCTAATGTAGGACACTATGGTCATCTGCGCTTTGCTAGAACTGAGCCTGGCCTGAACACTCCTTTTCCCAGGTTCAGCCTCAACAGGACGCTAAATAGCGCTGATATGGAGAAATAAATGCCATACTCGCGATCAGGGCATCAAACAACCCTATAACGCGTTTTTATCGATTTAGGGAAGAAAAGGTGTGGCGCCAAATGGCGCCAGCGCCAGCGCCAAAAATGAATGTCATATTCGTGATCAGGACATGGAATAACATCTATAGAGAGATAGCAAATATCCAATCATTCAAGCAAGCGAAAAAGATTTTTTTTTTGGTGTAGGGATAGTTCTGTAGTGCTCGAATTTTCTTCTCCTCGCAAGCTACATGTTTCCTTAGTCAAACCGGATTCGGGAAAAAGTACTGCGACTACCATTTCCAGAGAAAAGGGACACATGATTAGCGAATAAATCAATAACTCGGCAATGATTCGATTTGTTCCGCCACGTTCAATTGTTTCACCCAAGGGTCCATTTTGGTGCCAGCTTGAAGTAATATGCAAAGAGTTCAGCGTTTATGGGTAATAAACTCACAAACTACTGCCTGCAAAGCAAGACAATCACCATAAGATTACGAGTACCCTTGCCCTGGTAAGGGTCACTAATTTTATGTGCCAACGATGCAGTCCTGCAAACTGTACAAGATTTTAAGCTCAGAAAAACTGGAAAATACAGTGCCCCGAAAAATGCGCGTAAAATTAAACGTGTTGGTCCCGCGAACGCACACAATTGGGACTACCGTAGGCCGACTCCCTCAAAATTGGGGGAGAATGGGAAGGGTGCTCCGGGGTGAGGCCAGGAAGCGAGAGCTAATTATGTAATTCGGCTCTCCACCTGTAAATAGGTGTTGCTTGAGCGAGAAATGAAGGGTATTATGTGCACTCGACGCTCCTAGGCATTTAATTATACGCGCAGTTTAGGATACCGTATCCCACATGTTTCCCTATAGTTATAATTTAATGGAAACTTTACCGTTCAGTACTCGCTTGGAAAACTCTCGTAGCCCTTTGACCTCTTTCAGTCTCCATATTTTCACTGAAAAAATCGTTGATACTTATTTGTTTAACTACTTTTTTATTTGTTCTTTTATACATACTACGAGAGTGTCAATAAAAAAACCGTTGATGTAATTACAAGTAAAATATTATCACATATTTGGTGGTGAGATCAAAGATTAGGCGTAAAACCTATCAATCACTATCACAATTTGTAAAAGTACTTTGGGCCGCGCTCATACCTTGGCGAGTGGTTCTTTTTCTAATACTTTTCTGATTTTATTCCTATATTTTTTTCAATTTCAGTGTTGATTTTGCCAATGATACCATATTTTTCTACGCATATTCAAGGTAACCATGTCAATGGGACACAAGTAGTAATAGGGTTCATTGTTTCAGGAGATAAATCCATCGCGGAGAATTCGATACAGGAGGATCCGAATCTGACGCCCTTCCAGAACTCAGCAAGAAGTCGCTTCGGTTACGGTAACCTTGGCGGGTTCAACGGGCCAGCGCCATACCGTTAGTTTCAGATAAATATTCTGTAAAATATAATCTCCTGAACAATTTAATGTCGCAAAGCAGTTTCCCAACATGCTGTTCTACTGTCAAAGCTTGGTCATAAACGCTTTGGGTCGGGAATTTAGGTTACTTAACTGGACTACCATTTTCTGGGCGCGAAGGGCATATCCCAGGCTTATCGAATCGGCGGAAATTGGGCTTATCATCATGCCTTCCTCACTGGTATGCCCATTCTGTTTACCTTCTCAAAAAGGAGGAGGAGTGCAATACTGAGGAAGGCACAATGGTAGGCCCGGGCACGCCCACACGATCAGCGCGGGATGTGATTTGAGGGCAAATGCTTCTGCACGAACACATTCTCATGCCTTCATTTCTTCAGATAGAACAGTACCACCACCTCCATCGAGCGAAGTCCCTACAGTACCGCAAACCCCCCAAACCACACAAACCACAACAGAGGCGACAACAACCACCACCGAAGCCACTACAACGACAACAGAAGCCGTCGGTTCTACGGAAGGCGAACCTGAAGCTGGAACAGACGAATCTGGTTAGTCAGTTATCGCTCTTAGTCGTGTCAATGATCCGCATTCCCTTTTCAAGGAGCCGGTTTCGGCCTTGGTCCCTCGGAGTTGCCTCCAGAGCTGGCTAATGTCGGCTTTGGAATCGGTGGTAATGGCGTCAATGTGTTCAATGTGCCAGGACCCGAAGCACCTTCTCCGCCGCCTGAATCTCCCGCGCCTAAACCGAAAAGGCCAAAGCAAAGGTAAACCTCGCAGACCTTAATCCTATTGTAAAGTGTATTGTAAATGAGTGATTTGTTTCAGGAAGCAACCTAATCCTGAGATCTTCAAGGAGGGTGAGCCGCTGGTTATTCCACAAAATTCGGGTCTTCGACCCGTCGCTCCTCCAAAAGAATTCCTCGATGGCGGCGGATTCGGACCGCAATCTGGAAGTTTGTACTTAACTTCCTTACTGTTTTTTTAGCATTCTTCTTCACCCCCTCTTCATTTCTTTCCGCGATAATCAGATGGGCAGAGAAATGGAAAGGGTCTCCTGGACATTGCGTCTTTGTCACTGATGGTCTCCGATCTGCACTGGACTAGAAGGAATGGCATTCCAATGAGGAAGGTGCAGAGGCCATGGGTCTCCACCCATATTCCCGCCTATCTGCTGATTGTGGAATCTTTTCCGCAGTGAATAAACACAAGAGTTGTAACTTGAAGACGGTCTCGAAATTCAGGTATTGCAGGCGGTTTTGGTGGAGGCAGCGGAGGCGGTTTTGGAGGAGGAGGTGGCTCTGGCAGTGGACTCGGTGGTGGCATCGGCGGTGGAGGTGGAGCCGGAGGTGGATTTGGAGGAGGTGCAGGAGGAGACAAACCCGAACCTCCTGCTAGCTCAGGAGCTGAGCCTCCATCAGGTAATTCCGCATCATTACCGCTCTTCTTCTTCATCTTAATCTGAAAAAACTATTCAGATCTGTTCACCGGTGATTCAGCACTCGTTCCATCCAGGGGTCCTACTGGAGATGGTTATGGCCCACCAATATTCCCCGGCGGAGCTATTCCTCCTCCAGTGCCAGCCGTAGGCCTTGGTGGAGCTGCTGCTGGAAAAAGCCCCTATGCTGCTATGATTGAACCAACTGAAAACCCTCCTACAACGGTTTGTGGAGAGATGAAGTCGTTCGCATTCTATGCAGGACCTACTGTTTCAGGTGAAGCCATCTGCTCTTCTGAGCATGCTTAACAAGGCTGATCAAGGACTCAACCAGGCGATAACCCACTTTGAACAGAAGAGTCCTATAGAAACAGCAGCTATCGATATTTTGGAAGGTATGGTCCTGCTCAGTTATTCTCACGCCTTTCCAGGCGTTTCAAAGGTTTCACTACGCCTTTTCAGTGGCGCTGGGATCTCAAAAATTGGATTCTCAAGCGAAGCTCTTGGGACATGTCGACAGAACCATTGGACTAGATAACCTGCAACGAATACAACGTTGGGCAAACACTGCTGGTGCAATGGATGTGTTCAAAGAAGAGGTATCATACAGCTTAACTCAGATTTTGGTCCAAATGACAGCTATTCCACAAAAGAAGCAATGTTAGAATGGAATTAGAATGCAATACTTCACGTCTCGAGCGATTCAGAGGCGACTGAACCGCGCTCCACCGCTAATCGTTGGACGGCTGCAAAGTCTGAAATAAGTAATGTCCTGTAAGGTCTCTCTGTCCGGTACGATTAGCAGTTGCAGCAATCCAGTGACCAGCGGTGGACAGGACAGAGCACGTCCTCCCACTTGGAAGAACTTTGATGAATTTTCAAACATCCCCAAGCATTCTCATTGCGGTAAGACCCCCGCCACACGCAACGCGATCATCTTGCCGAAGCTTTTATCGAATTTTGTTCGCCCTGAAATGCTACTCGGATCACCTACGGGCAAAAATAATAGTTAGGTGGTGCCGCCGTCAGGAAGTTGCTTGAAACGGGGAAGTTCAGTCAATCCCGTTAGGAGTTCCCAACATAGACGTGCCTTGGCGGTAGAGTGTCACTGAACGGCTCGAGAGGCGAAGTATAAACGCAGCTTAAGGTTTCAACGGTCAATTTTCAGATGGTGAAGTTCATCAAGCATTTGGATCCACCAGAGAACTTATTTCCAACGTTACCACCTGAACTGGAATACCTATTCAAACCATCAGGACGGTAGCCATTTGGAGCGTTACCTGCCTTTCACGGGAGTACTACATACGTTGCAAGCCACATTGTTCAGGATCTATTGCTCTCTATCAGTCTATTCCTTATATTCCCCCTCCTCTTTCTCCTGCATTACTTGAGCAGTACTTTAACGCGGCTCTAGCGGCCACACTGTGTCATTTGTCGAGTAATGACGTAGTCGTTCTAGTGTAGTGTTGATGCTAGTAATTCTGGTCGTCTTCTAACCTATTACTTTTAATATTACTTTACTACTAACTTATTTTCTATGATTTTTATTACATTTATTGCTTTCTCATTGTTTTGCCTTTCAGTGTTGAATGATCGCTTTCCCATTGATGCCGCTCGATGTTAATGTACAGTTTCTCGAACCTATTATAAACGCGCTGCTCACTTCTCTTGCCATTATGATTCTCACTCGGTTCTTCTAGTATTGAAATACGAATAAAAATTTCAAGAATTTTTTAGCAATTATAATTATTCGTCAATGGCCACTTCAGTTAATTTGTCTTCTTTGAAAGCCGACATCTGTACTTTTTGAGCTGGACGCTTTGCTGCCACGCTTAGAGACGTTATCGCTGAAGTCAGTTGGGGCGTGTCAGCAAGACATGGGTTTGGCGCGGCGCTTGCTCATTTTACATCGATCCTTGAGGCTTTGGCCGCTCAATGAGTGGTATGAAAGGGGCTGGGATTGAGCTAAAAT